TATATATATATATCGCAGACAAGGTACATGAGTAGACAATTTACGTGATTTCGTGCTTCTTGCTCTGAAATATCGATCTATGTAATAAAAAAACCAACAGTTTTTTAGCGCACTCTATACTTAAACAACGGTGAATTGGAGAACTATAGTAAGTAAAATGATCGAGGTTGATCAAGTAGTAAGTGCGCCATGATATGACTTTTGAACCCCATTGCAGTGTTGTCAACTTTCTTATGACTTGTGATAGTTTTTTTTTAAATAAAGTAAATTGAAATTTTAAGATTATTAATAATAAATTATAATCATAATTCGTAAAAACAATTTTTAACTAACTAAATACTCAACTTAAAATACTTTTAAAAATTGTTATTAATCTTAAAAATATTAATTGAATCGTTATATTTCCTCATTCACTTATATTGCAATTCAAATTTATGTTCTAATACTAATTTCATCATAAATATGCATATTGATTATTGAATGTGATAAATATGTATAACAACAAAATTCTCTTATATTCTATTACGTATATTAAATAAATTCTATTATTTGTGAGTTAAAAGTTATGTTTATTAATTACGTTTATTAATTGCAGAAAATGACAAATGAGAATAAATTGTCACGTTGTAAGGACTTTGTTACAGCAAGATAAGAACTTTCAACTTCTTCACGTTGTGACCGCGTTTGTATACGTTTTTTGATTCCTGATTTCCTATTCAAGATATATTATCATAGAATTCCATTCTAAGAGAATTTACTTCTGCTGGTTAGGAAAAAATTTATTTGAAGCAATGAATCTGCTTGCAACATTTCAAATTAATTGTATGAATATTTCTACTGCGAAGATTGTTTCATTTATAAAAATATCATTTTATATGATCTGACTCGGCAATTGAAATGAACAAAAAAAAAAAATATATATATATAAAAAGCACATTTTAATATTATATAAAAAAAGAAAATATAAAAAGCACATTTAATATTATAATATTTAAAACTAAGAATAGGATTCTTAATGAATAATTATTTTTAATGAATAACTATTTTTAACTGTTTTTAAATACAACATTTATATTCCTATCGTAAGTACCTTGTTGGAAAGTGAATTAACATTCAGCAAATTATATTGAAAATATAATGAATATAATAAATATATTTGAAAGTAAATTATATGAATGAAGAGCATGCTTTGCGTCGACCTTCTTTTCATCTAATTCAAAATATAGAATAAGGATTTTCTTGAAAATCAGAAACATGGATTAAAATTATTTTTGATATTATTTAAATCATCAATTCAATAAATAATTCTCGCAACATTGTTATGCTGTTTGATTGTAATTCCTATCACTGGTAGTGCTGCAGTGCAAAACCTATCTAAATCGATAAAACAGGATGTGACACGAAAATGGTAAAAGTGTCCCAGGATCCCGAAAACGTAGGACCAAAAAAAATAGGGCAAAAAATTGCACGTTAGGTCTATTCATACATCTCGTCTGTGATATGTATCTTCTGCGTCTATTTTTTCCTTTTTCTTTCTTTCTTTTTACACTGATTGTTTTTCATATCCTTTTCCCAAGTCTTTCTTCCTTACCGTTCTTTTCTCTGTTACTCTTCTATTTCTGTTAAGTGACAATAATCACGTACGGAGGCGTAACAAAAATAGTTACACGAACACTGACAGGCAGAGACAGAGAAAGGGAGAACTGATGTATAGAGGTACAGATGCATGCACGAATCAAGATCATACTTACGCTTAATAGCTCCTCGGGTCGCGCCACCTTTTCTGCAAGTTCCCATAATTCGGCGCCCAAGGTCTCTGCCCATCGCGTGACTCTGACGAACAAAAACATGTTCTCCGATTATTGCTCCAGATGAATTATTGAATAAATCATTCGATTAATATATCTAAAATACCTGCTCATTTTATCCACGTAGATTGCATGCACATTAGTTAAATGTTTGGAAAATGACAGATGTACATTTTATGTACACACGCTGCACATGCTATTTTCGAATTAAGTAATTATTGATTAACAATATTTGAAAAATGACGAAAGTATTTCTCCTCGAATTACTAAGATAATTCTTAAAAATAATTACTTAAATAATTACTTAAGAATAATTCTATTTTGAATACATTTTTGTATCCAACCGAGAATAATGTAAACTGATAATGATTAATTAGAGCAGGTAGTATTAATCTTTGCTCATCTCAATATATGAATATCAAGGAAACTCCATTGACACTTTCTCACGTTCAAAGCTGCTTAAATGCTACCTTCCCAAGAAGGTCAATATTACTCACATGTACCCATCTCTAGCTAAGCAACCGGTGCATAGCAGGAAGCAAACGACGAAAACGATCCAACGGATATCGAGCCTCCGTTGCATTGTTTCAAAGATAGAGATTCACGTTACACCTGGATTTAACCGCAAAAGAGATATCGCAAACCCCGGCACATCATTCCACTTCGTTTTCTGTATCTCTGTGAATCGAAAACCGGCGACTGCACGTCCGCGTCCCGAAGTCTTCTGGATATCTCGAGAGACCGGCAAGATGTCTCGATTATTTTTGGTACACGAACGGCGCGCCGTCTCGTAAGCCGACGAACCACGAAGCTCGGTCTTTCCAAGAGTTTCACCATGTTGTTTCTCACGCGTGGTCCTCTATATTTATAAAATAGTGCCGGTCCTCCGTTTGGCCTCCACTTGTTCTACGTGCGCACGTATCTTGACCAATTGTAGGAGACCCATTAAATCTTGCAAATTTGATATTCTCATTAGTTGAAATTTCTTCTCATTTAGAAATGAAAGATTTTATGTTTTATTGATTTATTGAAGCACGACTTAACGACTGTACGTGTGATTAATTTTAAAAACTTTGAAATATAACATAATTTTACTTTAATTTACTTTAATATAATTAGAAGGAAGTCTCTGTGAGAAGAGAAGCATCTATGAATCCTCAAGCATGGTATTAATCGAATAAAACGTCTTACTAGCGGTAGCTGATGATACGTGTAAACCGCTTACGAGACACACGTAGGCACATAGGTAACCGGAGATCTTTGTAGGAAAAAAAAAAAAAAAAAGAAAGAAAATATGCAGTCGTTACAGAATGCAGAAGCTACATTTTTGTAGAAATTGAGGTGTCGTTTCAAGCTTATTAAAATTATTGCATAACTTTCTAAAAAAAGAAATTTCTAACGTGGGGGAATATTTGTATAAATTATTCAACATGATACATTCGCAGAAAAAAACCATTTTACGATCTAAAGTTAGCAATTTAGTTTCAGCTTTTATTAATCAATGCATAATGGCCAGAAGCATAAACCAACTATTTCAAGTGAAAAAAATCTACCATTTACTGATGTAATAAAATATAAGCCATTTCTACTTTGAATAGGCTGGAAAACTGGATCTCTCTGTCAAACATTAAATAAATATTGTAAAATTAATTATTATCTGTGTTGATGCAACTCGGCTCCTGATTAATTGGTAATTAATAATTAATAAGAAAGAAAGATAATTCGTATTTTCATTCGTGTGGCAAAATATTTACAGCGAGCAATCATTTAATGAAATCATAAATTAATAAATTTCCAAAGATTGCCTGTTACGTACATGTTTACAATTAGTAAAATTGCTGCATCGTTGTTGCTTACTATTGTAGAGATTATTCAATACTTCATCATCGTACAGTGGTTGAACGGTGGAACATTGTGTATGTTCTCGAGTCTGCTGATCCTAGCTGGCCAATCATTTGACAGCTCCATTTTTTCTTTGTTTAGTCAATCTGCATTTGAAGTTTAAATGTACACGCAGTTAATTCCCGCTTCCGGTCCCATTTTAAAATCAACTTGAAGGTTCAGCTTCGAGGAACTCCGTGGCAACCCTAATTCAGGACTCGCAAACGTTGGAAACAACAATGTGATCTATATGATTCACCATGTGGATAAATTGGTACATTCACCTGTGTGTTAGGAAATTTATAAAAAAACTTTCAAGTAGAAATAATTATTTTTATAGCGAACGTTGCAAAAGCATATTTAAGAAAACATTGTTAATAAACGAAGCAATAGTATTTGTTTCAGAGTAACCAAGTAGCTTAAACATGCTTTTATCAGTTTTGTAGTTATATATAATATTAGTTTGGCCTAATTAATTAAATAGATTTAAACTTTACATTTCGTATTCAGGTACTTGAACCTGATTCATATACCTTTAGTATATAAATGGTATAATAAAAATAAAATACAATGGTGTGCACAAATACTTTTTGTAGTTACTGCATGAACAAAAGATCACGTTCAAATAATAATTCAAAGCGTGGCGTGCCTTCAGGTGATTACTGTACAATTAAGATAATATCTTCTTTTGTGCTAATAAAGCTGTCCGCCGCGACCGATAGAACCCCGTCTTGTCATCTTTTATTAATTGATTTTCATCTAAGGTTTTCCAGCAAAACCCAGCAACCTGTACAAATGATGACTTTATTCTATAAAGTATTCTATAAAGCATTTAAAAGCCAGATACAGGCTGACCAGTCAAATTAATGAATTATTTATCCACTCATTGAATCGGTATTGTATTTAAATTTTCATGTGAATTGCCTAAAAAATTTCATCCCATCAATGTCAACCAGTTTGTTTGGAAATTGGAAAAAGGTTATCAAACAATGGTACGTTCACCATGGAACTAGGTAATGGTTTCATGAAAACAGGCAACTTGCCGGGTAATTACTTCCAGAATGTGTCGGAAAAAGTGTTTGTGGGGAATACAGTGCCGTATAACATGGGAGGAACAGCTGGTGCATAGCGATTGATATTGATTTAAAGCACGCGGAGCCGGTTGCCGGGCAGTCACGGGCCAGACGTACGTTAGAACAGGACTCCGTACTCAAATGCCTCCCGAGTGTGAGGAAATAGACGATCATGGCGTGCCGGAGAAGATTTCCTGCATCGACAACAGGATCAAAGAACATCTGCAGTTCTCAGTAACTTCAGTAACACAATGCGGTGCGAATTTTAATTCTCGTTCTTTCCCCCTCGCTTTTTCGTTTCCTTCTTCCTTGGTACGTTTGCGTCGCGTTGCAACAGATTCTCCAACACGCGTCACTCGATCGCTAAGCGGGTTCCTCGATCATTCTGAAGAAGATATTCCGAAGACTATTTCTCTGGACTTTCCAAGGAATAAGTAGTAAGCCAATAATGTTCTTGTGCAGGTTTACAGTCGTGTTACTGTAAGATAAGCAATTGTTGTGTACTTTTGATGTGTAACTGTTCTTCTTCTTCTTCTATTAACGGGACGATTGTGTAGAGGAGAGACAATGTGAAGGAAATTGAAATCGGTACCTGAGAAATGAAATTTATTTCGTAATTGGAGCTCTTCGAGTTGTCTTGATATTCTCATTGTACAATTATTCCTCAACTTTTACGTGCGACGAAGGGACCGCTTGCATTCTGCAAGACACCGAGGGAAAATTCGAATACAATCGGTCAGCTTTGAAAGATAGGTTCCCATTTTTCGAATAAAGTCTTACAAACAATTCAATGCAACTTATTTGGTTGATACGTGTCTTCTGTTTTTACATACACATCACAGCCATCTTTGGAACTTTCGAATGGCACGTCCAATCCCTGGCAAACGTATCCTCTTTCTACGTTTCAAAAAACGTTAGATATTCTTGATCATTGGAACTGTTAGAATATTTAAATCCAAATAATTACGAATCGTCAAAATGATGAACGTTTTGTATAAACAGGACAGGTTGTATACGCGCGCGCGCGCGCGTGTGTGTGTGTGTGTGTGTGTGCATGTATTTATTTTCTGAAAATAATGATGTGGAACTCGAAATGAACGCCATCAACCGTGATGGCTGGACGAAAAGGAGTACCGTACGTTCTCGGTGAACGTGTGCAGCGAAGCTGGTCGTTCAGGGGCGGTTTAAATACATAATTAGCAAAGGGTGGAGGAAGAGAAAGGGTAATGTACGGATTGGATTGATTTCATACCCATGGTATAGGGTTTTCGCCAGGAGATTGGTCAGTGACGGGTCAGGCGTTCTATCGTGCAGGCAGATCGTCTGTTTATGGTGGTTGAGGATCGATCGAATCGAATCGAAGAATACGTGTCGCAACTATCAAGGAGTCTGCTTCACTCTGGTTCGTGATCTTTTAACGTTTATTTTTTTTTCTTTCTCTTCTTATCATGTTTCCTATCATATAAACGAAAAGAAATTATTGTTACTGGGAAATTATGGATTTGTTTATCTTCGTCGAATTTTTGACACTCTGTCCAATGCCAGATTTGATAATTCAAAAATATGATACACAGATGATAGATCGTTATCGATATTGATATAATTGGCTTCATAGATTGCTGATAACGCAACATTCTGTCACGTGTCAGTGGCAACGAATCGTCGTTCAATTTGAATCGAGGGAGTTTCATTGTTAATTCAAGAATTACTAGTTTCATGTAAGTATTACACATGTGATTAAATAGATAAAAGAAGTACCTTGTATCTTAAACAGATCTGTGTTAGAATATCTTCTTAAGCTTCTACTATTACAACGTCGGTGAAATTTCAATGACGTGTGTGTCTTACATAAATTCCCCAAATGCATTCATTTAATCATATTCTTCATATTATTAATTCTCCGAATGAGACGATAATCGATTGATTAATCGAATTTCAGTGTAACAGGTGATTAGAAAATCCCCATTCCTACGCCACCTTCGTCATTCGTCAATCTCGACTTCTAGAAATGGCCGTTTTGTAAATGTGTGACAATTCCCGAGGCTGTTTATCGTCGGAGAGAAAAATTTCTACCTGTGCTTGTGTATGTCCGTAGTGATAATAATAGAAGATTGTAATAAATTAACAGAGAATTGGTATTGGCCGATTGACCGTGCTGTCACGACCTCTACACATCTATGTACATATGCGCGGTGCGTGAGCTTACAGCGCTGTCCGTGCGAACCTCAGCGCCATGGGTTAACAGGGTTAATTACTTCAAAGCAGCTTCCATCTGCGCCGGTGTCTGGACAATGCGATTAAGGATTTTACACGGCTGTCCCACCTCAATCGTTCCAATCTTTCGAATAAGAGGCGTGACTTAGTTCTTATCGTTCAACCTGT